TTATTTATTTTTTACGGCGAATACATTTCTTTTGTTTGGTGAGCACTCTTCGCCACTCGGCTGATAGTTATTTAATTTTTAATTACTTATGACCAAGCGTCCAAGTTTGGACTGGTATCGGTTTTTTGGGATTGGCTGTTTGTGCATTGAAATGTGAAATTAAATTTGCTGTCGCGCACTTTTGTGCGGCACCCATGTCTTTGGCAATTAATTGTTTAATTTTGTTATTTAAAATTAATGATATGTTTTTCATATGTCATTGCACATCTGTACGTGTATTTTATATAAATTCGCGTCAGGTACATGCGTTTTTTGCCCGCTTTATGGAAATTTAAAATGGCAAATAACGTTGAAACATTCATTTCAATTATGCAGATAAGCGCAAATGTAATGAAAGCTGAACAAGAGGATTAATAAGGCCAAAGCGACACGCGGCTTAAAGTCAACTTAATGAGTGCCAGTGCCAGGCCAGAATTTGCAGTTCATTGATGGAACGTCCACACGGATGGTATCAGCTCATATTTGGGTTTCAGAAGCCACATGAATTTTATTAAAATATTCTAAAAATCTAATTTTAAACAAAAGTATAGGCATTAGCTTCGAAATTATAGTTTGTTGTTTTGTTAATTAACTTACGATTGAGATGGAACTTTTATGGTTTAACCAAAGTGCTTATTTCCGCCGCTTGCATTTGGCCACCGCATATAATGGATAATTATCATTTTTTGTGTTAATATTTTCAAATAGATTTTAATGCCATTTTTGCAGAAAAGCACTTGACTAACCAATGAATCGAAAGCTCTCGCTGCAGGATTAATGGAAGCAGATTACGATTCCCGTAATGGTCACAAAAAAGCAAATGAATTAGTTTAGAACAAGAGCAGGTGTGATTGGAAGTTTTGTTTCAAAAATTTAAAAACTTAAATTTAAAACTATAATCAAATATTTTTAATTTTTTAGGATTCATTTTTACCATTTTAATCTTACCGATTTCAATCGGATTGTATCTGGAATTTCTTTGTAGATCTACTATCAATCTGCGTTAAAAGCTAAAACAAAATTGACTTAATTTTGGAATTTTTATGATCTACGGATGGAGAAATATATGGACGGTTCGTTATCTTCCACAGAGATGTCTATATCTCTGGTAATTTCTATTCGATCCTGGAACCAAAATGTGTTCTCCACTTATTCTCCATCAACCTGGATTAAAATCTGGGATCAAACATTTTTTTTAATTTTTTGTCATTTTTTCTGACTCTACACGATCGTATAAGAGTGCCCCATATGGCCCACAACATTGTCCATATCTTGAGTAATTTTTATCAGATTCTAAAGCGGAACAAATTTAACGATTTATAGATGGATTCTGCATAAGTCGGCATAAATACTTTTAACAAATTGTTGGTTTAATTTTGAATACATTTTTTTGAAGCAAGTGCTTTTCAAAACTGAGAAATGTAAGAAAAATGCATATCTTGAATCCAATTCTGTTCCTGAATAGGATAATTTTCAACTTTACCAACAAGTTTCTCATTGTCATTAATGTCGAGAACTTTTCGAATTGTATTTAAGCCTTATGGCCTGACATTCGTTGATCTTTTTATTGCCCCTGCCATCGCCATTCACAGAAGTGTCTGAAAAAAGCAAACTGCAAAAGCCATCACACAGTCACTAACAATTGCGGCTTCACTTAATGGAAAATGTTTCTGTTATTGTAATACATTTATTAAACATAATTTGAGCGCATGAATTTCAGTATAATTCAGAGACAGGCACTGCGGCAGAAAGAGACGGTCTCTCCGCCCGTTGCAATTAACATTCATTGTCATGAGCAATTTTTTTGCAGCATTTTCACCATCGATTGGAGCTGAGCCATTTTCCGCGCGATAATTATGGCCGCTCAAAGGTTCGAGGCCCAGCAGAGGGGCAGCGTGGTGGACGTATTTAAGAGTATTTAAGTAGCATTTAAAACAGGCCATTACACGAACCAACAGACAAAGTCCCTGCACACAGTTGCAAGCCGACATACAGCCCGTAAAAGTAGGCACACTGATTTGAAGCCAAAAATTCCGTGTTAGAAACGCACTTTTTGGGCGAAACTGACATCAGCTGACTGGCCTTTTGATGGCCGACTAAAGTGCACACGTAAACACTCAACACGATTCCGAGTACACTTGGGAAGGGTCAGAAACATGGCACGGTGAGCTGCTGATGACTGACTTAATTTTTCAACTGGAAACGTGGGTGAGGCGGCGACTAATTTAAGAGCGAAAATCATTTTCGGCGCTTTTCCTTTCGGGCTAGTTGCCAATCAGGTCACGAACTGTCGCTTCAGTCCGGCGCTCGGTCCGGGCCCTGATTTTTCATGTTCTCGTGGTGGCAGGTGAAAGGGTCACAGAGAACATGTTCATAATGTGCGCTAATGTGCATAATGTATGCGAGCCAAAACCAGACACGCATACTTGCACACCAACTGTACACGTCCCACACACACTGGGGCACAAACAGGACCTGCTCGTGTACAGGTAAACACGTGCAACAATAACAACAACAGGAACAAGGCGAAACAGGCAATTTAACAAGCCATCAACGCTGATGGTGCTGACAATGATGTTGATGATGGGATGGAATCGCCAGCAATAACAACAAACAGCTGGAATAACAACAAGGCCAAACAACAGTCAGAGCCTGGCAGTGGCCTGGCAGTGGCCTGGCAACAGCCACTACCACTACAACAATCGGTGGCAATACAGCAATACTTTGTTGCACCCAACCGCACACACCTGTCATAACATTTATCATTTCATAAGGAAAGAGTTAATTGGCTAAACATACTCTTAAGTACACCTTCTACCTCACCAGGAAGGCGTCCAGGTCCAGGGGTAAAGTTAGCTACTGGCACTCAGGTTAGTTACTTCACATAATAAATACCCGAAAACTCTGCTCGGATGCAGTTTCCCAAGAGTGGAGTGCAGTAAGAAGCCTCTTTTGGCATCAGGACCTTACTTATGCCACTTTACAAACGGACGCGGAAGCTTGAAATTAAGGCAATTCAGAGCGGGCTCTGCTGCTCGTCACGTCCTTTTCGGAGGATCACGTAGTGACCCACACGCTTGAGCCAAAAAGGGAATATTTGATGCAAAACTTTGCCTTTGCCAGGCAGCGCTTATCTTTGCTGCCGCTACTGCCACCGCTTCCGTTTCAGCTTCTGGCTCTGACTCTGCTTCGGATTTAGCTGCTGCGGCTGTTCAGGTTGCACATACAATATTTATTACGCATACGACCGGATGACACGCTCGGCTAGAACGAAGCCAAGGCCGACGCACACCTATAAGTGGCTTAATTAGTGCGACAAAGTGTTTGCCAATTGCTGCCCCTTCTAGTCCCGAAACTTGCGGTCCTTAATCGGCTTACAGGGCCCAAAGCATCCTGTAGGATTTGCCAAGCTGGGCACATCCTTTGGTTGAAATTAGCTCACATCCTTTGTACTATTACCGTCAGAACTTAAATTACAAATTATTTTTAAACAAAAGCAAAATTTTTTAAAGAAATTAAATTACGTTAAAAGTGAAAAATCAGGGATTCACCCACTCTGAAGGACCTCTCCGGGCGGTGGAATGTATAAAATGTAACAATTGAGGCGCCAGACACGCCCACACTCCAGCAAGCCCCCTGCCCCAGGCATCCACATAAAACCGAGCTGTTGATGGCTTTCAGTCAGCCTAGGGAGTTCGAGGATTCGCATTGGCCGGACACACATAACTCAGCGGAGCGACTGGCAATGAAGGCAATGCATCCGGAGGCTCGTGGGCTGCCGACAATTAACAGCATAAATTTAAATATGCAATTAACGCAACAGCTTGATGCCCAAAAAAGCCAATAAAACACACAGAGTCTGAGTTTCAGAGGAGGAAACTAATGGGGCGGGAAGGCTGAATCGAATGGAAGGCAGGGATACTTCAGGACAGTGTATTGAACTAAAGAAAACTCTCTATTCTTTAGGTCTAAAAAACTAGAGGCCTGATGTGACATGCTCCCCTTAATCTGTCCTTCATCATTTCATATTAAATCCCCCAGAATATTTTAATTATTTAAAGTATAATTACAATAACCACTGTAATGCGAAGAGAAGTCCACAAAATGTAAAAAAACACTCAAACTAAGTGCGAAAGGACTCTGCAACTCCCCCAATGGGGAGAGCGAAATTCGAACAGGAAAAACAGCAACAAAAAAGGACTCTGGCGACAATAAAAAGCCAAAGGTCATTTTAACACATGCACACGCGTACACCGAACAGTGAAATGCATTTGATTGTTTGTGTATTTTTTTAATTCTTTGTTTTTTGCCGGCACTCCCGTTCCTTTTTTACTTTGGAACACGCAAAAAATCGAATAAAAAAGTACAATTTTCCGCTTTATTTGCGCAATGCTGCCCAAGCCACAACAACAGCAAAAATGACAAGGGCAATGTCTGTACGTTATATGATACTGGCACTGCCTCCCACTGCCCACTGCCCCACTCGGTGGGCTTACTGCAGCTTGCCACTGCCATCGCTTTCCCCAGCAGGAGCCCCGCAGCATAGCAGTCGTTGCCATAGCCACATGTCAATATTTTTGCGCTTCGGCCTCAGTTACAAGGAGCCGCAGGGGATTCGTCCTGTTAAATTTATTTCAGTGCAGCGGGAGACCCTCCATCGATGTGTGAATTGCTCGCTCGAACTGCCCATTTAATGAAATTAAAACAAAATTTCAGCGCAAATTTAATATTCAGTAGAAGCCATTCGGCTACTCTGCACGGGAGGCAATAATATAATAATAAGCATAATAATGGTATTAAAATTATTGCACCTGGCCACTGCAGCGGACAGTAACACGGAATATCATGAAAAATTGCACCGCTCAATTACGGGAGTCAAATGGCAAAAGGCGATTGCAAAAGTCAATGAATTAATGAAGTGAATATCACATGGGAGTTGAAATTTGTTTTTATTACAACAACAGAGAATCATTGGAACATTGTAACAAACAGAAAGAAACTAAATAACAATTTGAAGAAACACAAACGGAAATCAAAAAACAAATGCTAGTCGCAGAGAAACCCCAGCCGGGTTGCAGACTCCAGAAAATTGGGCTTTTCAAGCTGCCCGGGCTGGGGCTCGAACTTTAGCAACTGATCAATGGTATAGCGCTGGATGATTTTTCCAGACTTATTAAAGATCGTCTTCATAGGACCCTGAGGAGCGGATCGGGGGCTCCGGGGGGGTGTGTGCCTCGAATATGTGAGGTTGCCTTTGCGCTGCTCGCCCTGGAGGACCCTGGCCGGCGGACAGAAACGCGGCGACGCTGCTGCCTTCGCATCCTCCAGCTTTATGACCTGTGTTGGCATGATGTTGTATGAAGTCGAAGACACTAGTGGCTCCACCATCCTCGCATGAGCCAGATTAGGCTTCCAGTTTTTGTCCTCTGGATCAGTGCAATGGTCAGCGGCGTCTATGGTCGCCAGGAGCTTCTCCCTGCACTTTTCATCCCACTCCTTGGTTGTCGGAATATATCTCTTTCGAACTCGACTGCTGGTTTTCGGTGGCGAGGGGCTCTTTTTCTGCTTTGGCACTTGGGCCACTTGTGGCGCCTCCAGCTCTGTCTTCATTTCCCGCAGGACTCGTTCGATTCGCTCCTTCTTGGCTATTCTCAGACGGTCCACGCGGATCCGTTCCTCGGGGCTAAACTGGACGGGCGACCGCGAGAGGTGTATGATTAGATTGGCTTTTTCGGACTCTTCGGTGTTTTCACCGGAACCGACCAGAGGGCCTCGCAGGCGTCTCTGTTCCACTAACTTCAAGGCCTCCAGGGCGACCTTCCGCTCCTGCTGCCGTCGCTTTTCATCGGCCTCAACTCGCTTTTCTGCCACCAGCGCATTCTGGAGGTCAGCTTCCGACGGAGTTGTCTCATCATTTTTGGCCAACTTGGCTTTTCCTTCAGTAGGCTTAGCCTCGGCCGATACTACCTTAGTTTCATCCTTTGTCTTCTTCACCCTCTTGATTCGTGGCACTATCATGTAGTCGACATCGTTGAGTAAAACTACCTGGGCAGTCCGAGAAGCTATATAATAGGGTTTAGAAAGAGGTATCACTGAGTTTCAAAGGGCTTCGAAGAGTGTTTACCTTTCTCGGACTTTTTTGGGAACCCCTTCCAGGGCAGCGTTAGTTTGGTCTTAAGTTTTGGCTCATTACATTTGCTAGAAACTAAATCTGCGTCAATTCCTTCATCTGTGACTGTCTGAGAATGTTCTACCTTGCAACGCGGAATAAACTCCTGGGCATTGACGTTTAGCTGTACGGCGGCGCCTCCTGAGACTCCTGACTCCGGCTCGTCACCGACACTGTTGCCCTTGACAATATGGGGACTCGGAATGGGCGATTTAAGGATCTCAAAAAGGGCATGACTCTCAATCAGGTTGTTCATTGTAGGCTCATATATTTTACTGTTGGATCTGATGCAGCTGTATGTGATTCTTGAAGAGTTATTGCAGAGGAATGTTTGTATATACATATATGCCTATGGGCAGAGCTGCTAGGTATATCACCGGATGTTTTTTAATATTTGAGATATGTGGCAAGGCCTGCCAAGACGGGACGACACTTAACAGATAGATGATTAGGGGTTTCTAGCTTCTCAGCCTATAATATTTAACCATTTGTGCTTAAAGTCAAGCTAGGATTAAAGGTTCTAGTAACTTGCCTCGCCTGCAAGCTCAAAGGAAAATAAATATCCAATCACTCCCCTACCAAATCGCCTAGCAGTCCGTGTACATTTTGCCATTGTTGACATTTATTCGCACAATAAACACAAAGCCAAGGCAGCCAAGGAAGCATGGCTAAAGTAGGTGCAGTCCTGGAGCAGGAGCAGGAGCAGGCATCCCGTGCAGGCGGTAAACGACATTCAATAAAACGTTTGAAAATATCCTGGCCAGAGACCTAAGATGGAGGCTGAGATGGAGGAGCTGTGCGAAATGAAATGAAATGAAAGAAGCGCACAGAAATATGCAATTTCACCTCAATCAGAGTTGTAAAAACAAACAAACAATGGCCAAGTGCAGTTGCCTGCTCTCTCCTCAGCCAGATGTCATGTGAGCCCCATGCTGGGGCTCTGCCAGAGTCCTCGTTACCAACCTCGTTACCCGTTTCCATTCCCAGTGCACTTCTCCCATATCGTTTTGCGAGCTCTAGCGAAAATGCAAAAAACAGAAAAATGCAATAAGTAAAACGTAATAACTGGAGCTCAGGAGCTCAGGACATTTGGCATATAATCAGGTAGCTAAAGCGCCTGAGGTATAAACCGTAGAACTTGCGCTTTCACTAGCCCATATAGCAACACTTTCTATTCAAAACTATTACCTACAAGCCAGGATAAATACAATTATTGTGAATAATGTATATCAATTAGAAAGTTGCTGGCTGCCAAAATGGGCAAAAATTTCAACAACATTGACCGACAACTTGTAGGTCGTTTGGGGATTACCACAGAGATCGCACATTCACTTATTTATCTATGCATGGCATGGAGTTGTGCGCCATTTTTGTACGTAATGCGACTTGGGCGAAGGTGGAGGCGGTTACCAGTAATGCATTTGTGGTCAATTGCCGGACCGTGGTGCGAGGGACGAGCCGAGCCACTGACATCATTTTAATAATAAAATTGTTAACAGAATTGCTGTGCTTTGTGGGGCACGGGCCAAACACAAAAACATGTGTTGGTCTTGTTAGCAGCCAAAGCACACATATGCAGTGAGAAAAATCTAACAAACAAGGCTTTCATAATGCAAAAAGTTCCTGAAAGTATATAAGCCCATTTTTTGCCGGTGCTTGCAACAATTTTTGAGGGCCCCTCGACGACGACCTCAATGTTGTCGGTGTCGCTGTTTTGGTCCTGGATCCGTTTCGTTCTCTCCGTTCGCAATCTAAATAAAATGGCCGACGTGTGTGTACGCACAACTTTTGCCATATTTAATCGTATTTGCACAAGCAACAACGTCCCCAGCAAGAGGGATATGTTTTTTGTTTGGATTTTAGTGTTGTAGTCGGCAATTGTAGCCGGCAGTGGAACAGGCAGTGGGACAGGAGCTCACTTTTGGGCATTTGCTTATTATTGTTGGAAACTTTTGCATTTCGCCACAAAAAGAGCACACTTCCCACACAATTGGCCTGGCCCGACCTGGCCTCCTTGCTCCTTGCGTGCTGTGCCAATGTGTTTTTAGAATATTTTGTAACACAGAAATTACCTCAGAAGTGGCTGACAAACAAATGGAACTAGAGATGGTAGCAAAACTATAGATCTATATAAGTTATAGAGGTACTTCCCCTCAAAGCTTCAATAATAAGGCTTAAAAAATGCAATACTCTTAAGAATACTTAAAGCTAATTCTAATATCCATACTTGAATCATTTCTAAGCGAATATATCATCTCGAATTTAAAGTTTTTAGCTCCCCTGCCATTATGTCGTTGTGGCTTTATTCAGATTTTTAAGCTTGTTTCGCCTCTGATGCTGGAGTATCTGCTGGGGCAGCTTAAAACGTGCAACAGAAAGTTTAGCCCTGGCCAGGTAGAAAGTTTTAAGACACATATTTATGCCAGAATGGCGGACGGACGGAGTGGACGGCCGAGAAGTGAGCATGTGTGCTGGGAAAGTGATTAAAAATTGGGTCAAGTGTCTCTGCAGGGAGACACTGGTAGTGTGCGTGCCCAGGGAGATTAAGCAATTTGGCATTGGCACGCACACAAATCAAAGGATTTGTCCGGTTCTTCCTATTTTTTTGTTGTTATGACTCCCCAGCACTTAAAGTTGCTCAACCACAACGATTTGTCATTTATGCGAAAGGAAGGCAGGCCGAGATTGCATTAAGAGGGCGAAACTTTTACTTAATTACACAACGAGACCACAAAGACAATTTTTGGGAACAGTGAGGCAATCGCAACAACGAGTTAACTGGAAGGTGAAATCAACATCAATTGACCCACAACCTCGATGGTTTTAGTCAGTAAGGCACTGGGAAAAACATGGACTTTCTTTGCCTACAATTGGGCTATACTTTTGAATCGACATCCCACCTAGAATTAGCTAAAAATTTCTTCCTGTTTAGTTGCTCACCAGACGGAGTAAAGAACCAAGAGCAGCTTGTTACCGGTTGTGTTGTTCTGGTTGGTTTTCGTCTGTGGTTTCAGCGGCATCACAGGCAGCGGCCCAGACACCACACCAGAGGACCAAGCACCAAAGCACCACAGCCACAGGCGAGAACAACAACTGCCAGTGCCACTGCCACTGCCACTTGGACTGAATCAACTCGGAGAAGGCTTCGCCCGAGGCGGCATTCCTGGCATAGTCCATCTCCATTGGCCCACTGCAGTATCAGCAGCGGAAAACGATTTTCCAACTGAAGTCGGAGATTTCACGCCAATCTACGATTTTGGCCGTAATTTCCGCAATCGGTACCACAACACTGGCTCCTAGGAATTCAGCTGTTGAGCAGGTCCTGCAGCTGAAGCTTGGAATGATTTTCAAAACTATCCTAGCAGTCTGATGGCAACTTAAAAACTACTTTCAAAATAAACAATTGTATACTTGTTAGATTTTCTTTAGCTTTCCTGGAAAATATTGCGGCAGACCCATAAAAGTTGACCAGCTTGGAGTGGAGATGTGTGGGGCGTGTACCTGCATATTTTATGGCTTCCTGGGAGTCGCAGTAAAGTGGAACTGCAGCTGACCACAGCCCATGCCTCCACTTAGTGTCCGTCGTTCTCCAAATTGTTGTTATCTGAGCTTTGATTGTAGATCCTACTACCCCTTCCCGATATAGGTGCACTCGGGTGCAGTTGTGTGTACTTAACGTGCCTTAAATCACATTTGGTCTGTAATCAAGCTAAACAAATATGGTAGCATTTGATGGACGGAGTCTCCCTTGTGTCAGGCTTTCGTTACGATTGGGCAAACTTGAATCTGAACCAGGCTATGGAAATGCAGAGCCCTAACTGGGTCGGTTGCTGAGCTTATTTCGGCCATAATATACAGTGCGTGTAACACGTGTATGGGAGGTATTGATGATGATGGGTATTGAGTAGCTGGAATTGCATTTCGAAACACAAAGAATAGCCATTTAAAGCTATCGTATTTCCATAAATGATCCATGCATGATACTCATGGCCCGCACTGTCCATAGAGCTAGCTGTGTTACTGCAGTTAAAGCGCTTACGCTCATGCATCCGTGGATACATTTTACGGCCATGGCCGATGATGGGCACTGCGGACATTTTATTGTCACATCGTCACGGGGGGTGGTGGCATGATTTTGATTCGGTTTTGGATTTTTTATGCAAAATCAATATGAAACTGACAGTTGGCGCGGGCGGATAGTTAGGCAAAAAACGGAAATCTGATTGAAAAATTGCCATAAATCGACGTCAATTCAATTAACATAAATTGCGTGATTAATGATTGACAAATGCTAAGCAGACAGAGGGAGGGGGGAATGGGCGCCGGTTGGTGGTGACTCCCGCAAGTAATTGCCACATAATTCGATAACGATAACGATGAATGATGTCCACACCCACGCTGCACCCAGTTTACAAATCCCCGCCACTACTCTCTCCAATAATTTTTTAATTCCTATGCCCCAAAATCCTGGGGGCAGCGTCCAAAAAAGACTGCCCATGTCTGCAGGTCATTAATCATGCATTGTACTTGCGAATCCCAGACCGTCCACTCAGTCGGTTCACTCCCACACTCAGTCAATCAAACAATTGAATACATTTCAATCATTAATGGCCCTGGCCGGCAAAAGGTGGAAGAGCAGAAGAGCACTCGAGCCCGCCGCCCACCTGACACAATTTGATCTGACTCGCCGTGACTGGGGTCGAGAAGTCCGCAGACGAGGCTCATGTCTAATTGATGGACAGTCGCTGAAGTTGGCCCTAATGATGGCCGGTAACTTATTGAATTATGATTGCTGAATCGAAGTTAAGGGAGAAGTGGAAGGAAAAAAAGAACCAAAGATTAGAACCTATAGTATCGTCAAACTTTAAAGTATATGAAGGACATACCTGATGAATCTACTTCTTTGAAATAAATGACTATCAAAGGGTGGACCAATGGTGGAGCTTTGCGAAAGGTCGGGGAAAATAACAATTATTTAGCCCACACGACCAGTATCTGAGGTCGTTAATTTGCGAAACATTTTAGTGGCGCTCTAATCGATGACCATTCATTGTCTGCGACAAGAGTTCCCTCACTACACAGTCCTGTCCGGCCCTCCATCCAGAGAGTCCATAACCCTCTATATTGCAAAATGGAAATGTGTGGAAATTTATGCGTATTGCGAATTGGGTGGAAAATACTTTCCAATGGTCCGACAAACATGGAATATTTTCGCTGGCTTTGGGCCAAAATGTTTTGCGGCAACATAATTACTTAGTGCGGGTCCTGGTCCTGGGCGAGGGGCGTAGTAATTAGCTCCTGCAATAACCCTCTGAACTATTCGAACA